CCGAAAGGCCCGACAACAGGGGTGGAAGCTATTCTGAAGGAATTGAGGAAAGATGTAAAGAAAAAACAGAGCGTCTCTGCATCTTCTTTTCCCTTGAGCTATCACCCATTTTTAGGAATAAACACACGCGGAGAGGAAGGCTTTCTCTTCAAAATGGGAGTCATAGTACGACATTGTTAACTATGGCAATGATAAAAAATCAGCCGAACCTCTTCCATCCCGTTAAAGATTCCTGAAGAGTCATTTTTCGTTTTGATTAATTTTCTTATTTAGACTAAACTGGCCAGGATTGAAAACTTGGGGAAATTCAATGTTTCTCTATGGAAAAAAGAAAGCTGAAAATTAGAGCCATGGAAATCTCAAATATGCTTATCGGGTATATTTGCAGAAATTTCAGGGGGGGTGAACCTGGGTTTACAGCTAAAAGATTAACCATTATGCTAAGTTTTGATTAAGTAGGATGAGAAAAAGAAATAGTTGAACTGTTTTAAAGTCAAATCTAAATATTCTCAACTTATATAATTAGAAACATTTCAAAACGCCGGAGACTCGGATACAATCCATGGATGTTTATTCTTTTGAGTTGTTTTCGAATCGAAGGTCATCTTTGTTAAATTGTTGTTTTTTATGAATCCCGAAGAGAATGGGTTGGCTCTGCAACTTCTTTTGTGGGCAACCGCCCAGAATAATGCGGGCCTAATACTCATCTCTTCTCGTAACAAATATAAAATTTTTAATTTGTCCTAATTAAAACCTTTTTTGAAAATAAAAAAGCTCTTAGTTATACCACGTTTAACACGTTAACAAATATTTTTATAACCTATTTAATAATTAAAATTTTCTTTTAATATTTTTTAGAACATCTTAATATATATATATATATATATATATAAATACTATTTTAAACCAGAGTCAAAGAATTTCTTATTTTAAATTTCAATTATACTTTCAACATTTTTAATTACTTCAAACTCTTTCTCCTTTGAGTTAATTATGAAGTTTTGGTAATCAATTATGTTGTTTTCTGAAGACTTGATAAAACAAGTAATTATGAAGTCAATTTGCAGCGTCTTTTTGTGCAATTTGCATGGCAACGTCTGTCGACACCCATCCCTCAAAACATGATGTAAAGCTTAGACGAGCCAGGTAGAGTCTAAATTTTCATCCTTACCCACCGCGTGTAGTCAACGTATGAAAGATGTTTTTCTACAACATTGATTTTCAAAATTATTTATAATTACATCCAAGGAAACACATTTATAAAACACAGAAATGAAGCAACTATGTACGACCTAGGGTTTACTTATGGCCCCCAATGTTTGAACAAAAACTTACACAAAATCAATGTCTTCATTAGTAGTTAGCTAGTCAAATTAATACATCCATATGTTTCTCATTCTTCCTTTTCGTTTCTCCTACTCCTCAAACTTTGTAACTATGATATTATTATTATTATTATTTTTGAGATAAATAATCTGTTTACTTAACAGTATGCTATGTTATATTTCTCGTATGCCTATGATAAGTTGTATACTAATCATCTTTATCATCATCTTCGTCGTAATTGAATGGCAGCGGAACCGATTTGAATGCCCGATACTTGCCCACGTTATTCAAGTGTTCGTTTTCCAATCTGGATCCATCAACATAATACAAGATTAATTAGAACAATTGCGTGGAGTCTATATTTATACATACATATCTATATTCATGCAAATTAATTACCGGAAAAAATTCCACATTCCACGACGAATAATCTCCAGGCTCGCGACAATGGCAACCAACGTTTCTCTGTGCAGGAAAGACACCTGAAAATTCAACACCGTTTGCAGCCATGCAAATCTCAACAAAACGTTCAAAACCTGACAAATAATTAAGCACTTGATCGTCAGTCAAGGAAAACATAAATTATATATATCTATATATTCTTCCATGCCAACTTAAATATAAGATCCAATTACCATGGCAGCATAGTATACAGTTTTGTGAGATATAAGTAGCTTGTCTCTCAACATAAAGTTCTTGGAGCGTCGCTGCAAAAGTCCCCAGTCATGGACAAGGTCCCAATAAGTACAGAAAATTGCTGCAATGGCTGAGAAAATCCAGGCTATGATTCGCCATCCAAACCCTTTGTTAAGACTGTAAGCAGTCCTGAGGCAAACTGCTACTATTGTCAAGAAATATTTCAAACCATTGTAACCTTGAACCGGATCTCTCTCTTCGAACAGACGCCTTAGACACTGTAATTAATGAATTTCTTGTCGATGTCATTTCTACCTGCTTTATTGGGTTATAATAAATTAAGCAATAAATGTATGAATTTCTGTACCTGGAGAAGACGAGACCAGTAAGGAATCACGGCAACTATGAAATGGAAAGTGTTGAATACGTCGTTACTTCTGCAATTGTTTTCTCTGAGTCTGTAGTCTCCCCATCCATAATAGCACACATAAAACTCCAAGCTCCTAAATGCTTGAACCTTCAACAATGGCAGACCAAACTTAGTTTCATGATTACTTATGGTAAAGATAAAAATGGAAGAAATTAGCAAATTAATCGTAGCCCATTTCACCAACCTGGCTAGTAAGCTGATCTGCTAAGAAAAAATCAGGGAGTGTGACCTGCAGTACAAGGAAATTAAAAGATTTTTGTTTGTTTCTTTCATGGCTGTTTACAAAACTGTGAGAAGTAAAAAGATTTTTTAACTTTATACCTTATAAAGAGGAGCAGCAATGCAATGAAACAGACATGTGAGGAGAAAGAAGCGACTTGAGCGATACAAGATATTGAAAGGGCAAAAGAGTGTGACAGTGACAAGCTGCATATATACATATATGAGAACGGATTATATAAAAATGGTCAGAATTGGAATATACTAAAATTCAAAGGAATTTGATTTTATTTAGTTAATTAATTACCACAACCAACATGAGAGGAAGAAGTTCAGTAATGACTTTGTAATCATTTGTTTTGGGATCCATCTCCATGTCAAGGTTTAGAAGCACGCAGATTAGTGCTAATACTCCAAGAACGAAACTTAGAAGAAGAACTTCTCTGTAACCCAGCTCTGTTCCTCTCTTGAAACTAAATATGAAGGAGTAATTGACTCGGTATTTCCTCCAGTAGTATATGTTGGCAGCATACATGATCATGTGCAGAACAATGAATCCAAACAAGCTGCAATATACATTAAAAGTTTATAATTTGAGTAAGTTTTTATATATTCATCATATCAATGGAATTATTAAGCTGAAAACCAAGAGTTGATGACGATACCTGTAAAGAGGAAACATGGTTTCCATGTACAGCACCTGTCCAGGCTTGTTTAATATATGCCGAGCGCGTATAATGAGGACAAGGGCTATAATGAGAGAAGCAATGCAGCCAGCGAAGAAACCTGAAAAAGTTTCACCAGTAATCAATTTGCGATATATTCTCTTAATTGTCAAATCTCATAATGTAAAAAAACTCCATCAGAAATGGGAAATTTTTTATAAAAACAAATTACCTGTTGAAAATGATACTCCATGTCTTTCCTTCTTTGATTTTGGCCTTAAGATGCTCATGCCTTTGCTACGATTCGAGTTTGCAAAATGCTTGATGAATGTAGCTTCAACCCTCTCCATAAGCTTGTTAATCTGTACATTGAATCAGATTCTTGTCAGTCGAACTCAAGTTGTTAAAGTGGTAACTCCTTTTTCTAGAGAAGAAAGTTATAAACAACTGAACTAGATCTTCTTGTCATCGTATCTCTTTTTAAACAAGAGATCGTTACACACATTATTTATTAAAGTTATAAATCATCCAGAAAGTTTACCTCATCAGAGCTGCCGAGGTAGGAGTTATCCACCATTTCCATGTAAGCTTTTGTTGCATTCCTTGAAGTTATCTGCAACAAGAAATACACGTATAAATATATATTTGAGGAAACGGCCGGGATGAATTTTCTGGAAAAATTATGATATATGAGGAATTTAATCATTAGTTACCTTGTCATATTTCTTCATGATTTTCGAGAAGGCTAGCGTATTCAAAAAGCTGTTGTATACGTTTATAAACACAAATTAATTAAAGAAATAAGCCACTAAAAACTGAAAATGAAGAAACAAATTACTAATAATATATATGGAGATGTATTCACCTGTAACTCTTAAGAAGACGAAGCTTGAGGTAGAATTCAATGAAGGCACGCTTGAGTTGATTCTGGACTTTTTTAAGATTATCTTTAGTGAACTTGAGCTCTTCTTGGTTAGGAACTCTGAGAACATTTTTAATGGTGGAACGAGGAGTTTCCAGAGTATTGTTCATCGTCACACGTTCAAGTATTTGTAAAGGAGCTGGTCTTATCGCCCTACTAATACCCTTTGCCTTATCTTCCTCAACTTTATGGTTCTCTGCAACATTTTTATTACTACTACTCTTGATCTTCCTATCATCTGCTTGTTCATGGCTGCTTGGCCCAGCTTCTTCATCAATCACATCCATGTGCTCGTGATAAACTCTTCCTGCACCTCAAACCCAATTACTGTCTATATTATTTGTAATATATATATATATAAAATAAAAGAAGAAGACAATAACTTACGGCTGCCAGCTCTAGCACCAGCTGGAACATTAGCAGCCAATGCTGCAGTTGAAGTTTGAACCTCGGAAGCCAAACGAGTCATCTCTGCAGATCTTTCTTCCCATTGAGTCACTGTTGGATTATCAACTTTAATTCTAAAAGCAATTAAAGCATCCATTTGCTTGTTCAAGATCTCCGCTTCATTCATCACCTCCTTCACTTTAGACCTGTAAAACTTGTCAACCTTGTTGAACTCATCGTCCAGTCTCCTGAAGTACACAAACTCGTACTCTCCTCCCTCGTCGGCCGCCATCAAGAACGTCGTCTGGTATCTCTCGCTGCCGTTCCGATTGACGGAGTTAACCAAGATGGTCTGGTTTTCGACATCGGAGGAGCTGGTAGGGCTGACGGCCTGGTAGTTGGGGTTGTGCCGGAGTGTTAAGCCACTGAAAGCTCTGTAGAGAGTGAGCTTGCGCGTTAGAGCAGCTGCCGAACCAGGGTGCGGCTTGTTTCGATGGTTGAAGCGTTGGATATCTTTCAACAGTTTCTTGAGAAATCCGTAATCCATGTACGCTTCTTGCCATTCTGGTACCATTTGAGACGCGAATTCTTTCCCAAACTTCATTTTCTTATATGTAATATACACTTAATTCACAGACAAGAGTTTAGCAGGAACACGAGAAAGAACTCTGGTTCATTTATATACAGTATAATTAATAATGGAATTCACAGGTTGGTATTTCCTGAATCTTGACGAAGATGATATGATCGTATGTCCAGAAGACAAAAGAAGAAGGGGAAATGAAGATATGCAGGTTAATGATGATGGCGGCTACCTGAGCAGGAAGAAGCAATTTATATACGCGAGGGCGTGAAGGGATCTGTGGGACTTTCGTCTAATTCCTTGAAAATTCAGATACGAACATTCAACTCGGCCAATTTTCCTACGCGCACAAACGCGCCTGTGGGCTAGCAGTGTGAACAACTCCTCTACTTATAATTTGTTGCTTGTAAAAATATTATTATTTTCATTTTACTTTGGTAAATAAAGTTGGTAAAAGTGGGCCACATATACCGCAAAGGAATTGATAAAAGACTATTGACGAAGTACACATTTTTACTCTTCTACATAAATTTGTTTATTCCAATAAGAAGCATTTCATTTGTGAAAGTAGAAAGTAATTTTTGAAAAGCATGTAACATCTACCTTCTACGTATGTATATTTTAATTTTAGTTTTGATTAAAATTATTTTCATTTGGATCATAAAATATTTTGACACCACATAAATTATAACTAAAAATTACAGTCAAACACCCCATAAAAACAATTTAAGGATTGACCTCAAAATATTAATTAAAGTGACCAGCTTCTAGATTGTGTTATATATATATATATATATACTTATCAATTGCACGAAAACGATTGTTGACGGAATTTGGTACTATTGACGATCTAAGACTTCTTCATCCCCTTTTGCCAACTATTTATATTTGATATTTTTTTACCTATCAGTCACCACCACCGAGTCAACAATTAACAAGTTAAACATAATTAATATATAAATAATCAGACAATATAACCCACTCCAATCAGATGATTCTTTCTCTCAGCACCAACTAAATCATTCTTTTTAGATTATAAATAATAATAATAATACATCATTAAATTTTTTTTTTTTTTTTTTGTAGTTGGTATGTCTCTTTTAAAAATATAGATAAGTTCTAATTGATCTTAGATTTGTTCTAAAAGTTATATAAAAAAAAAAAAAAATTAAAAGTGATTTATATTCTTATAATTATTTTTAAAAATATTTAATATCCCAATTAAATACATTATCTCCGAAGATTATTACTCTTTTACTTTTATTGCTAAGTATACGTCATTTAATTAGCAATTAATGCTAATAAAAGTCTTTATACAATCTCATCCTCATTATTATTACTAACTACTTTCTTTTTCTTGCGGTTTACTCTTTATAATGATTTATATTTCTTTTACGAAAAGAAAAGGACCATGAAAAATTATATTATTATGTTTAATTAATTTGTGTTCGTTCCATCGAGGTGTGCTTTAAAGATAAAAGTCAACGGTCCAAAATAATCAAAGTCTGTGAAAAAACAAAAAAAAAAAAGAAAATTAAATATTATTTCTAAATTAATACCCTTAAATTTTCCTAACTAACCTTATGACTTATTTTACATAAAAAGTAATAATTACACGTACATCGGCATCTGGCTTTTTTTTTTCTGGTAGGGTTACTAATTGTCCGCGCTGAGAAAATTCCAAGTCTTTGAATATTAAAATTTCAAAAAGAAAGATTAATTCGTTAATTGAAAATTTAGTATCTTTAACTAAGACTATCTTAACTAAATCTACATGACCCTTTCCAATAAAGTCTGATTAATTAATATTAGAGACCAGGGTCGCATCGACAGCTCTTTTCCACGTACCCGCATGCATCAACCCTAGTTAATTAATTAATTAATTTTAGATAAGTCGACATCACCTTTTTTGTGTGTTTTTTACCGAACAGTGTCAAAAGTTCAACTTTCAACTCTTGCTTTAATTGGTTTGATTGTCGTTTTGCTTTAGTTTTTTTTTTTCTAGATTTTCTACTAATTCTCTATGTGCTACGACCAAAATAAAAAATGTACCAAAGTTCAATTCAATCTCCATGTGCCTGGTCCAAGAAATTTGTTGATTTTGTTTTACACTGATTTCGATTCATAGTTTTCATCTCATAATTTATATTTATATATGTATATGTACGTATATGTATAAAGTGTTTTCAACAGAATCATTAAATGTGCAGATTTAATTTCAACTTATTGCATGCACCTTTGGAAGCTAAAACTGACACGTAAATAATACGTACGTACGTGTAAGCACTCCAATCACTTATATAACCCAAATATCGAGAGAAAGAAATAGTGGTTCATGCTCTTTCTCTTTTTATTTAGAAATTGGTTTTGAATTTTCCGTAATTGATTTGCAGCTTTCAGATACATAATATATCCACAAGCTTATGTGGATGCAGATTTTATTACTACAAATTAATTAGATTAATGTACGGGTTAGTTAGTTAGTCAATGACAAAGTAATAGTGCGTTATATTATATATTTTTATATTTATATAATGTTGAGTCTTGACTCACTTCAAAAAAAGGCTCCCTCACATTTTTCATTCAATTAATATAATCTTTTTGTAGTGCTTAATTAATTCATATTCATGTTTCATCTCTCTCTCGTGCGTGTTGTGTGTGTATGTCTATATATATATGTATATGTTTAACGTGTTAAACATTAGTCAGCACTCAATACTTTCACATTCTTTATTTTATTTTTTTAATTCTTATTATATTGCATAATATAAGATAACTATACATTAACATATAGATAAATATATCTCTTAAGTGACTACCTATCTAAAAGATTATATTAACATTATAAGAAATTATGAAGAAACAAGTGACGATTTTAATCATGATTGTTTGCCCTATCTTAATTAATTAACTGCATATCACATTAACATTTTCTTAAATTTTTTTATTGACATATATGTATCATCAATTATTTGATAACTATATTATCTGTGGTTTATCATTTATGATGAATTATCAGTAGAATATGTTTCTATTAAATGAAATCTGAGGAACCTTCTCGACATATATATATATATATATTTGTTTTACATGTAAAATTTAAAATTCAAAGAAATTTAGACTCCCAAAGGTGAAAGAATGATAGAAGATGGCGCTGGGTGGGTGAGGGGGGACCGATTTGATTTCCAAATGTTTGGTGTTTGGGAAGGGACCAGTTTGAATAAATGTTTCTTGAGTTCTCTTGCTCTCTCTTTTACGAGGTATTGCAATATCTACACTTGTGCTCCTATAACTTTTTTTTTCAGTTTTAGGTGTGTATGGTGATTACTATTATAATCATTTAATAATTAATGGTAGTTTCTTATTTTTCACCTAAAATAAATTATTACTAACTAAATTTACTTAATTAACAACCACAAGATGGATATCAGTCACTTCACAATTAACTCATCATAAGTTATAACCCAACTACCTTGTCTGAATCATTAGTCAACTCATACAACCATCCAATCACTATAATTTTTAAATTTCCTTTCACTATGATAAAAAATCGACTTCCCTCCCCCCTCAAATTCTATATTTTCCCTAAATTCACAAGTCTCCTGTGAATTGCTTCCTAAGGACCGTAAGGTCAGTGTAGAGTAAAATTCAAAAATTCTACCTGCGCTAAGAGTTAATGGGAGGATTATTTAGTTAATAATATCATACGCTTATTAATTAAAATTTAATTAGTTTGAATAAAAATTAAAAATAAAAATAAAATTTTATTAATTATTCATTTCGTTGACTGAGTCGGATATATTTTTATTTATAATTTTATAACTCCGTCTAATATCAAATTGATAGTTAATCTGCTCTTATACTCATTTTCAATTATACACTTAAAACGGTGCTCGCTATCAGATAAAATAACTGCATGCATATATAAAAGTATCAACGTTTTGGAAATGTTCATTAAATCTTAAAGATATTTGAAAATTAGAGAATAATGTAGAGGCATAGTTTGAAGTAAATAAAAATTAGTGTTGGAAACAAGCTGTTAGACAGAGCAGGAAGATGAAGAACGAGTATGTATTTATTCTTCTTTTTTTTCTGCACAAAACACCATAAAATCATTTGCCAAAAGTTAAAAAGGAGAAATAATCTCAATTTCTAAAATAAATTTATTATTACTTATAAAAAAAATCTTTTTAGATCATTATATGGATGGTGCGGATAATTAATTTATTACTTTTTTTATAATTCAATGACTAATATTTTAATAAAAATCTCTTAACATTATTTATTTAAAAATGTTAAAAAAAATAAACAAATTTATACAAGAGGTATCTTTACATTAACCACTTGCATTGAAAATTCTAAAATACGTTTTGGATATGTGCTCTTTTGTTTTTATCATTAAACAGTTTTATTGTTAGAATTTATATTGGATGCTTCATTTACAGTATATAAACAACACAAGAAATTATAAAAATTAAAATTCATATATATAATATATCTAAAAAATATTATGAACTGAAATAAATATTATGAACACTCTTATGAACTGAAGCAATGAAATAATTATGAACTAAAATAATAAAGCGGAGTGAATGAATCTTGGACTTTTACTCAATAGGCTGAGAATTACATCATGTTGAATTTAGTAAATGAGCACCTTAAATAGAGTTTTTCTAATGTAAAATGCATTAACATAGAATAATAGCCCACTAAGTTCTATTGTTACTCAAATATCTTAACAAACCCAAAAAATCTGCACTTTTTAAGCAACAAACTACTTCATGTACCAAAACCTAGGACAAACAAAATAGGGAACACAAATAAAAAAATAATAACATTTAACAATCTCTCCCTTAAACTTGAAAATATATTTTTCAGTTTAATATATACAACCTACTAAACACTTTTTAAGTTGTTTGACCTTCAAAAGAACATACACTAAGTAGTTCTCTGAACTTTACGAATGATATCAACTTGAGTGACTTGGTCAATACATCAGCAACTTGATTTTCAGTCCTGCATTAGATGAGAACAATTACTCCATCTTTTATAAGGTCTTTTCGAAAACGAAACTTTACATCAATATGTTTATTGCTCCCATGTATAACAGGAGTTTTGTAGAGTTTTACTGTTGAACTGCTGTCATAATAAATGGGAGTTGATCTTTTGCTATAAATGAATTTATTCAAGAACCTTGCGCAACCAATTACTTGATTGACACACGTTGTTGCTG